AAGTACATGGTGAGTATAGTTCAGAAGGAAAATTCTAATTTCAAAAACAAAAAAAGGTCCTGGTCAGTAGATTTTTTAATTTTTCCATGAATGTAAACATATTTTAACTAGAAAAATTTAGTTAGAATGACAAATTACTATTTATATCAATATAACCAGCCAATACCCCGAAGCCAACCAAAGTTAGAAACTCTGTTATAATTAAAACAAGGCAAGACAAATAGTAATCACCACATGAAGAACTTGCAGCAATTGTGATCCAATTTTTTTTTCCGTTTCTATGGTGTTTAAAAAATCAGATTCAAACTGGCAGAGATTGCTACATTTCTAATATAATTTGAAAACCACTTTTTTGTATTTACTTGTCTTCTAATGTATTTATAAAATATAAACCTCAAATATTATGTATCAAAAATTGAATTATATAAGTAACCTCGGCCAAACTTTTTCAAAGCACCAAATTTGCCCAGAAGGAATTCCGCATTTCACCAGAAGAGGCTGCACACTATACTATAAACCACCACCGAAAGTGGATGTCAGCAACTTCAGGCTTAACATCTGTGTTGCATTTCCACAGCAGAACACTTCACATATACATTATAAACCACCGTAAATCAAAACTGGAAAAGACAAAAATAACAACTTACGGCTCCCTTGCAGTAAAGTCGTAACTTCCCGGATGGAGTGCGAACAATCACTGACATTCTTTTTCTAGCACTGAAAGAAAGAGGGTTTCCAGGATGTGTCATCGCACTGAGAACATGCATCTGTGTGTTTGTCATGCCTCACATACTTTCATACTCATAGTGAAAAAATAAATTTGCCCAAATTATGAGGTTGATCCTTCCATATACACTAACCATCCCTTGGGTGTACCGCTGGGTACCCTGAAAGTTACATTATGCTTTTTAAGGCACCAGGGTACCACTGGCTGCCCTAGAGGAATAATTTACAAAATAGCTCCCTAGAAACCTGCAAGAGTTAATACCCACCAGGGTAGAGGACAGTTTCCGTTCAATGTTTTCAGATTAAAAAAATATTTAAGCCAGTATCTGTTACAATGAATTGCATGTTATAGCTTTTATTAACAACAGAAATGATAACCCATTTTTTTAAAGTACACACCCAATCACACACAATGGCAAGCACTAGCATTTTAAAAACCCACATAAGCCTTCACAGCTATCATTTTTCAATGATTACTAGTAAACCAGTGGCATCATGTAAAAAAACCTGATTTATATTATAAAACTAAGTTAATGAGCACAAACGTTTTAACATTGTGTTGGCAACACGGACAGATAAAAATTGTTAGTCAATGGTACAACATTTTCAGTGCGTTAGCAAAGAGACAGAACAAACTGGTTCAGCACTGCACAGGACAGAATACGGCTCACTTGGGACAAAGTGTGTATACACATTCTCACCAAAAATGAGGGGTACAAAGGACTTCTCAAGTGTCTGTGTCTACCTATGTTACCCTGTAATGTTCTGTTGCTAAAACCCCGAGATGAGTCCAGCATAGCACTTAGACGTGTTGTCCTCACGTACAGTGAGGAGTTCCCTCCAGAGGTACCCAGGAATATTCCGTCCTCTCTTTCTCTATCTGTAATTCCCATTGCATTAGTACCTGTGATCTCCATCCCTGTGCTTTAGGACTACGTTTAATTGGGACCCCTTTGTGGGGACATCTGTGTTTTCTATCTCAGCTCTTCTTGACTCGTGTCTCTCTGCATCCAGCTTTGATGACATGGTCCCAAACTCATCCACTTCCTTGCTCTTTTCTTCTCCTGGCAAAACTCCTAAATCTTGGGTGAACAGGAGTCCTTTCTGTGGTACCAGAGTAAGTGGACACTACTAAAGTCACCCAGCCAGAGATTAGTAAATACATAGTCCCAATGTCACTGCGTGCTCCATTCTGCCTTGTCACCTACATTTCTCTAACTGTCCCACTGTCCCTCTTCCCTGCAAGTCACTCTAGACTCTTCAAATTTTC